AAACACTTACAATTTTGTATCCTAATATAGCATATGAAACCATTATTAATCCATGGTATGAGTATGTGCACATTGATAAGATATATATTTTTTAACACAAACATCACAAATGGTAAAACACACTAATAATCATGATAACTTAACAAGTTGTCGAAACTATGTATTTACTCTTTGGAGTTTAGGATAGAAATGCCACATTTTTCTCAAAGCAGTTTTTAGCATGTGTTGATATTTTTTGGAAAATTTAAAAGGCGATGGGATTTTGTTATTTTTTAAGGAATTTTGACACGCTATTAAGAAACCACGTGTTCGTTTCGATAAGGGCCGTATTGTCATTGCGTTTATTTATGACTCTGTCGTTATGTAATTGTAAAAACAACCCCTCAGCGAATCTTCTTTTAATTGTATTCTCTTCAAAATGTAAAATTTTAGGGTTAAAAAAATCGATATTATGATTTAAATTTTTAATATGCTCAGTTAACATTGTTTTAAATTGCTTAGGATTTTTTGAATTATTTTTGTGTTGATTAAGGCGTTTACTCAGGTTTTGGCTAGTTTCTCCAATATAAAAGAGTTCGCAATTAGAGCAATTAATTTGATATACTAAATTCCTGAGGCGGTCAAAATTGAACTTAGATTTCATTTGTGTAAAAATTGAACTAAGGGTTGCATCACAATTACAGTTTACCGTAGAATTAGAGACAATGAATTCGATTAGCTTTCTAGACATCAGACTCATACGTACAAATGACCACCGACTAATTACTAACTGGTACCAGAAACCAACTAGCTCCGGACGATACATAAATTACCACTCATACCACCCTCTTAAAATGAAAATTGCGACAATAATAAATTTAACAGACCACGCCATATTACTATCTGACAAAAACTTCTGGGACACGAACATTGACCTGGTTATAAACACACTGAAAAAACAACTCATATCCTACGAACATAATCAACTCGGTCATAAATACAGACGCAGTTACATTTTTAACAAACAAAAAGACCTCACAATCATAAAAACCGCTTAGACTTAGAATCATATACTGGTGTCATTTGCCTACCGTACGTAAAAGATTTATATTTCTCGTGGAAAAAACTATTTCAACAATGTGGCATTCTGTTGGTATGTAATTGTGATGCAACCCTTAGTTCAATTTTTACACAAATGAAATCTAAGTTCAATTTTGACCGCCTCAGGAATTTAGTATATCAAATTAATTGCTCTAATTGCGAACTCTTTTATATTGGAGAAACTAGCCAAAACCTGAGTAAACGCCTTAATCAAACACAAATAATTCAAAAAATCCTAAGCAATTTTAAACAATGTTAACTGAGCATATTAAAAATTTAAATCATAATATCGATTTTTTTAACCCTAAAATTTTACATTTTGAAGAGAATACAATTAAAAGAAGATTCGCTGAGGGGTTGTTTTTACAATTACATACGACAGAGTCATAAATAAACGCAATGACAATACGGCCCTTATCGAAACGAACACGTGGTTTCTTAATAGCGTGTCAAAATTCCTTAAAAAATAACAAATCCCATCGCCTTTTAAATTTTCCAAAAAATATCAACACATGCTAAAAACTGCTTTGAGAAAAATGTGGCATTTCTATCCTAAACTCCAAAGAGTAAATACATAGTTTCGACAACTTGTTAAGTTATCATGATTATTAGTGTGTTTTACCATTTGTGATGTTTGTGTTGAAAAATATATATCTTATCAATGTGCACATACTCATACCATGGATTAATAATGGTTTCATATGCTATATTAGGATACAAAATTGTAAGTTTTGTATTACCATTATTATTATTATTGTTTTTCCACAAAATTTCCTTTCATATAATTTATTTAGTTTCAATTTTTATAGTTAACTTGATTACCACTGAATGATGGCTAAGATGCTAGCCGAAACGTATGGATTTTAAATAAATAAATTTTTAAAAAAAACTCATACTATTTTTATTGATGTTACGCCCGATTATTAAACTCAAATTAATCATATATATCAACATCAAATTCAAGACTATTCAAAAAATATATATATATATATATATATATATATATAATTTTAATTATTATAATATATATTTATTATTACCTATAATATGTTGATATCCCACACAAAGCTAATACAATTTTAATGCCTTTCAGTGTGTTCTTAATATTTACTATCGTAGATTTTAATTCTTTATTCTTAATTAAAGGCATTAACACTTCGTAGTCCCAAACAATCACACAAAAGGGCTCTTCTTGCTAAAAAATACAAAAAATAAATCAACAGGAGAAATAATTAACCAATTATTTCTTGAATAATAATGTACAATGGATATGGCATAATTATTATATAATGAAGAATGTGGATTAAAATTTAGTTGCAGAAAATAAGGTTTGTAGTATGTGTTGTAAAAGTATTATATATTATATATTTTTAATAATTTATTACCTCTGCAGTTGCATTTGAATGAAAATCTCGACTAATCCTAACAGCAGCAATACTACTTTTAATCGATCTAGTGGTAGTTTCATATACAAGCCCTTCTCGTAACAAGTAAGACATCAATTGTTCGCCGTACATTGTGGTCAGGACATCGTAGTCTAACAATATTCGAAGACTCTAGAGGAAAATAAATATTTCATTCGGGAACATTGAGGTAATGTTGATAAATAATTTTTCTTATTAATTTGTCTGTCGACACTGCAGGATGTATTTCGATTGTGTTATTAATAAGTAAATAAATAAAAATTAAAATATAAATAAAAATAAATTATATAACTATTAATAATAATATAAATAATAGATTAATAAATTCAAGAAATATGAATGATTAAAACAATAATTTAATAAATTAATAAAATGAAAAAAAATGTGAATAAATATATAAATAAATAAAATATATGATTAAATAAATAAATACTTGGTACTAATTCTCTATTTCCGCATCCCCCCCCCTCAGATTTTTGTTTTGACATTATTCTTGTATATTGTTATTTTTTATTTATATTTATTAACTGCATGCTGTTATGTACTTTTGTGGTTATTTTGACATTTGTTGTTTAATTTTGAAAAACGCGCCAAAATTCAAAGATTCTCAAACCTCCACTGAATGGTTCGAGCGGCTTTTGAGTTTGAATTCTCTGAAGTTATCTAACTTAAAAATGCATTTTGTATATTATTTTTGTAATGAAAATTTGAAAATGTTTTAATAAAATTATTAAATTTAAAGCTATGCATACATATTCTAAACCATTTCTAAAGCTTCATTTATGTCAGGCTAATATATTTTTTAAAGGTAATTATTAATCAATACAAATATATATTTGTATTGATTAATAATTACTTAAAACGTCGGAAAAACATAATATATATTATGTTTTTCCGACGTTTTAAGTAATTTTTAAATTTTTCACTTGATTTTAACATAAAATCCTTAACTTAAAAATTCATTTTGTATATTATTTCAAATTCTGAAAATGTTTCTATAAAATTATAAAATTAAAAATTACACCATTACACTTGTTTATCTCTGAATTATAGTTTTTGCCTGAATTTATTGCTAATATTTTTTAATATTACTTATAATATTAAATGATTAACTAGTGGTAAATGGCATCGTGCCTTAAGATAAATTGCTGGAACTTCCCGTACCGTAGCGAAATGTACGAGGAATATTAAGTGTTTTCAAATAGATTATTATAAATAAATACTGTAACATTGTCTAACATTTATAAAGATTATATAAACTGAGTTTCAAATTTAAAAATATTTATTTAAAGTATGTAAATGAGCTTTAGAACGTTAGCCAGAATTAAAATTAAAATCTGAATTATTTTCGATATACAAAAAATAAAAAAAAAAAAATAATAATTCTGATTTTAAAACTTGTTAGACCTGCCTTTGTCAAAAACTTATCACCACTTCTTCCAGTCATTACAATTAGAATCTTTTTTGGATCATTTAAATCGGATACTCCGATCTCTCAAAACTTGATTTCAATTTTCAGCACTCTTTGCTCCGTATTTCCGTAGCGGCTAGACCTGCCTTCGCCAAAAACAAATCAGCACATCTTCCTATCAAGAAGATTCAAATTGGGACTTGAAACGTATGGATCTATTATATCATATGCAATACATACATTGCACATATATTATTTAATCAAATTATTTACTGCATTTTAAAAATAACTAGTGGGGTGCATGGCATCGTGCCTTATGGCTAATTGTACGGAACCCTAAAAAAATACACAAAATGTTTACACACTATTGAAATCTCTATAAAATATCTGATAATTTGATGTACATATGTCCAATAAACATTTTTGACCGCTAAGTGACATTTTTTAAACTTATTTTTATTAAGGGTCTACAACCGCTAGACTTGCCCAAAAGTTTAATTAGTTCTTCATCTTGTCAAAGTAAAATGTTTACTGAATTATTAAAATCGGGCGCTCCGTTCGGTAAATTGAGTTACCGTTTTTGGCAATTTATCTCCCTATCTTCAGAACGGATAGACTTGCCTTTGCCAAAAACTAATTAGCACGTTTCCTTATCAATACGAATCGAATGCTTTTCGAATTATTCACATCGGTTGATCGGTGTTCTCGAAATCATCGACAAAAATTTGTATCCGCACACACACATACATGAACACATACACACCATACATCAATTTTTTTAAGGTATGCCAAAATGTTCAAAAACCTTAGAAACGTGACGATATATAAAAAATTTCATTTTCTATTTTTTTGCGATTATTATAACTTACCCTACGGGAAGATAAATATACATAAGATAAAAGATAGACAAGTCATAGATAAAAGAAGAGTATATTTAATTGTATATAGTTTACTTATCTATGTATATAGTTTTCCTAACAGTTTGAGAATCTTAGGTATTAGTCCTAATTTTCAAACGTTGGTAGCACTGCTGGTTTTGGCGAACTGTTAACATCTCTTTCATGTTATTTTGAGGTTAACACCCGGTTTTCTCGCAATATTTGCGAATTTTATTAAAATACAGTTTGTTGTAACCATATAGCACGATTTTATGTTGAATCTCTAGTACAAAACCTTATATAACAATATATTTCATAAAATGGATGAAGATTTAGATATTAAAGATGAGGTTGATGTATCCGAGTACTTAGAACAAAGTATGGATTGTTTTGATAGTTTTAATAAAATGGAAGATTCCATATCGATTAATGATGACATGACGGGCTTCGGCGAATTTGATAATGAACTGATGAAGTCTGAATATGAAGAAATGTTAGAAGATCAAGAAAACTTGAAGGACTTACAAAGTGAGAGATTTGACAGTGAAGATGATGAGGATAAAGACTACGATGCTGTCTCGGATTTTATGAATAGAGTCAGTAAAACGTTTTATTAATAATATTCTAACCATATTTTTATATACAATTATTTCTGTGTTATAGAGCAACAAAGTAAACGCTGAAATCTACATTGATTTTAAAGTACCACCTCAACATTTAATTGAAACTCGAATATGTAGATGCCCGACTCAAAAACAATTACAGGAATTTAAACAGTTGAAAGTAAAAATGAGACTTGGACCGTTCAATAAAAGCGAAGACAGACAAATTAAAAAGAATTTTAAAAAGTTCTGCAAGGTAAATGTTTAATCATATACATAGGTAAAAGAAGTATATTATATATATATATATATATATATGTTGTAATTTATTTATAGTCTTAGCATAAGCAGTATAAGAAACCCAGAAAAAAATAATATAGTGTCTGCGGTAAAAGAATAATATCACACTTGATTTTACCACACAACATAATTGCTTTAATAATTTAGTCCATAATTTTCATAATCCCGTATGATATATCAGTTGCTTTTTGGCAATTATAATTTCTAAAGTACATTTTTCTTACTAATAATTTAATAAACATTATTGTTTATGTTCAAATCTTACGAGAATTAATTTGTAAAATCTAGTTCATATGAGCACTCTTTGCTCTAAGATCAACTTGCTAAATATTTCATATCCAATGCCAAACAAATGAATTTTTGACACACAAAACAAAATTCTAAATCGTTTTTCTAATAAATAGTCATATTTTTTGTATTGTTAAATAATTTAGTAAAGTACACCAAATGCGACATGCATAAGTTTAAAAATATAATTTTTATGCAATTTTGGAGTTATTGCGTTATTTATTAAACTAAATTATATAATTTCATCTGCCAAATATATGTTGTTGACTGTATCTTATATTATTTTAATTTTTGGTACATCTCAGCTGCTTTTCGGCAATAATAATGTAGACATTACATTTTTCTTGTATATTATATTCTAATATTATCTAGGCTCATAATTTCAGCTAAATTAAAATTTCAAGTGAATTGATATTTCTAGCAGACGGCGGTTCAAATGTTTTCAATGTCAAACAGTGATAAGTGGTTCTTTGTAATTTTTGCCATTTATTTCTACAATATTACTACAGTTTTATTGTTTATTAAATCTTAATTTCTTCTGACAAACTCTAAAAAGAATTATCAAAATCTGAGTAACCTTTTAGAAGAAATATCAAATCACACACCCTTACAGAAGAATTTTATATATATATATATATATATATATATATATATATATATATATATATACATTAATAATTGGTAGTCCATAGTGTAAGATTAATCACAATTTAATGATTCCCTTACCCTTTGTCGTGCATCATTCCCATCACCACTATTTTTGCTGCACTTTAAAGTATTTTTTTAATGTGGTTTTTTTTCAAAAATTCTCCTTCTATGCTTCTTGAATTTGCACTTTGGCTTTCAATTTCCTATATTTTCTCTTCTCGCGTAGGTCGTCAATCGTCTGCATTCTTCTTTCCATACTTTTCAGTCCTCCTATTTTAACTTAATTTTTTTTAATTTTTTTTCCAAAATCAATTATTTTGTTAAGACAAGCAGAAAGTTCTTCGAATTATTTAAATCGGACGCTTAGTTCTCTCAAAAACTGCCATTTTTTTACATATTTAGCTCCGTATCTTCAAAATGGCTGGGCCTGCCTTTGCCAAAAACTAATAAACACTTCTCCCAATCATTACTAATTGAATGATTTTTAGATCATTCAAATCGGATACTACGTTCTCTCAAAAATTCGATTTCTATTTTCTGCTCTCGTTGCTCCGTATCTCCGAAACGGCTGGACCTGCCTTTGCCAAAAACTAATCAGCTCTTTTCCCTATCAATAGGAATCGAATGTTTTTTGAACCATTCAAATCGGTTGATCCGTGCGCCCTAAAACGTGACTGGAAATTTGTATCCATACATACACACACACACACACATCCATTTTTTCTGAAGTATGCCAAAATGTTCAGAAACCTTCAAAACGTCGAGAAATGTAAAAAATTTCAATTCCGATTTTTGGCCCATTACAATAACTTACCCTACGGGAAGTTAATAAGATCTGAAGATATAACAGTTTTTAAAATTAACTTCTATATGTGGCATGCTTTGCAGTGGGTAAACCAACCGTACATATAATTTGTGTTGGCCCTTTTCATTATATACCACACACTTCCACATTCAGAATCAGTAAGTTAGTTTTATACTAAAAATTTTCTAGAATTATTTTTTATGATCAGGCTACATTTGTTGGGCTTGCTATAATATAATATGTAAACATATATAACTTTGAAAGAGTCTTTATCGAAAGTTGCCTCAATCAACTTAACATGGAACCTCTTCCAATATATACATTTATTTATTATGTCTCCTTTTTCCAGATGCACAATATTGAGAAACCCAAAGAATTTATGGATAAATATGATGATGATGCCAATGCACTAGAACAAACTTTTAAATTCAAAGACTTAAAGCTAAAAGATCGAATAGAATTTATGAGAGTTATAGCCCGTGGTTTAAACAATAGATATCTTTTTTCTGTTTATGGAAGATTTCAGCATTTAATGAATAAAGTAACTGCTAGAGGACGGTGGGTAATAGAAATATGATTTAATTATTCAATATATTGATTAATTTGTTTTTTTTTTTTTTTTTTTGTAGTTATACCCAAGCCGAGGATATGCTGTTATTAAATTCAGTAAATAATAACAGGTATTCAAAAACAAAATTTATTGAGGCAGCAGAACTATTAGGAAGAACACGATATTCTATTGCACAAAGATATTATTTACTAACAGCGAATGAATACAAAAATGGTATGTATTGCAATTTAATATATTATTGTAAAAACAGTAGTTTATTTAAAAAATCTGCTAAATTAATTTTTGAGTCTTATGGCAAGTTTTTCTACAAACATGAACAATTGAGGTAACTATTGTTAGAGTAAATGATGAATTGAATATCAATAATGTTTATAAATATTTATTGCCAGATGATGATATTTTTACAAATATGAACATTTGAGGTAAAATGTTGTTAATTAGAGTAAATGATGAATTGGATATCAATGGTGTTTATAAATATTTAATATTTATAAATATACATAATAAAAAAACATAATTTGAGAACAATTATTTAATTTTTTATAAAAATTCTCAATATATCAAAAATTGTAACAATTTTAATAAAACGCTATAATTTGAGTATATGCCAAAATAAATATTACACTTTAAATCATAGTATTTATAAACATTTATTATTTATTTATAAACATAAATAACATTAAACACAAAATATGAACAAGAGCAAACTTATTTAATTTTTGAGTAAGAATATTTAGTTACAATTTTAGTAGATGGTAAATATTATATTTCTATATTGTTAATTAATATTTAATTTTTTTTAATAAATATGATTAATAAAAAACATAAATATAAACAACAACAAAATAATTTAATTTTTGAATATTTCAAATATTTTTCTTGAAATACAAATAATTTTTTGTTTTTTGTTTAAATTATTATTAATTAATATTTGATTTTTTTTATTAAATATAATTAATAAGAAACATATAAACAACAATACCAAAATATTAAAATTTTTAGAAAGATCCCAAATGTTTAAAAAATGTTAATTTTAATAAAAAGCTACAATTTGAAAATATTAAATATTATAAGCTAAATTAAATATTACATTTAAATAGCATTTATAAATATTTAATATATTTTATAAATATAAATTATAAAAATGCAATAAAATCTACAAACCAGTTGCAAAATTATTTAGTTTTTGTATAAGATTCTACGTATATATTTTTTATTATTAATCATTTTAATAAAAATTTATAATTTGAGTATATGATTAATATCACATTTAAATAATATTCTTAAATATTTAATATTTAATTAAAAATGTAATCTTAAAATGTAATCAACAGCAAAATTATTTAATTTTTTAGCATGATTGAAATTAAAAAATATTAATAAAACAATATTAATAAAAATCTATAATTATATTGTAGTAAATAAATTAAATATAATATTTATGAATATTAACAAAACATATGTAAAACATAGTAATATTAATAAATTTTTGAGTAAAATTGTAAATATTCTTCAAATAATATTAAACATTGTAATAAAATACTTTTAATTTAATTGATTTATCGTTTATTAATAATGCATTTTATTTTATAAAGTAATAATAATTCATTTTATTTTATATTTTTGCAAATAAATACTTATAAATAAAATAAATTAAATAAATTTTAGTTATTAGTTACCTAACATATTTAAATAATTTTCAATAACATTTAAGAATTATTTATTAATTTAATTAATATTAAATATAATAATAATTATTCATAACTATAGTTATTAAATATTTTTTTATTTTCTAAATATATTTATTATTAACTATTACTATTATTTATGAATATAATTATTATTAACTATTGTGCTATAATTATAAATCAATTATAATTTTTTTTATTTTTTTGCAGATAATAATCTAGTATGGACAAAAGTTTTAACAGAAAATTTCCTCAAGCATTTACTTAAACATTGTGGAGTTAAGACTGTCAATGAATTGAGAAATATCAGAATTGGCCATGAAGTCTACGAATCAATTTCTCAAATTATGCAAATTTCTCCTAGTAGGCTTCGGACGTTTTGGCTAGGACGACTCTCATCACAATTATTTTGCGAAGAGTATGTTACTTTGCAGTGGATTAGGATAAAACTTATTAAATTGTAAGTAGAGAGGAAAAGAAATATTGCATTATTCATATATATATATATATATATATATATATATATATATAAATCTCGTGTCACGATGTTGGTTCGCGATGCACGCCCAAACTACTGGACCGATTTTAAATTTTATTGGCTCACCGTGTGCATATATATCCAACTTAGGTTATAGGAAATTTTGAAAAGTAAATTTAAAATATAAATACATAATTTTTATAAATTTCTAAAAATTTTGACAGAAAATGACCAAAAAAAAAAACAAAACACTAAAATGACAAATGTCAAAATTTATGGAAAATTCGAATATTAGAAAAAAAATTGACAGTTCAAAAAATATAATTCAAAAACATACATATATAGATATATCTAACATTTATATGAAATGCTATATTCAGAATCACTGTATATAGTTTTAAATCTAATTAAAAATCAATGTTTATAAATTTAAATGAAAGTTGACATTGAAAAAACGTGAATTGACATTTGACAATATTTATAAAAATTATTAGATAAATAGATTTATAATTTATATTTATTTGATTTGCTTACGAAATTAGTTTGGATACCAAAACTTCCTCGAAACATTATAGATCACAATATAAAAAACGACATATTAAATTTGATATTAATCATAAACAAAATTTTGACAGTTCAGAAAAATTGAATTTTTGACGACTTCAATAAGAAACAATTACATTAATTATTCCGAGTTTTGTTATAGTCAATATTGTAGATACAAAACATTATTGAAAAATATTATATCTAATTATATTAAATTTCGACCAAGAAGGAAATATTTATTTAGTTTTATATTTTTTATAAATTTCCATAAATTTTGACAGAAATTTACTAAAAAAAACAAAACACTAAAATGACAAATGTCAATATTTACGGAAACTTCGAGAAAAAGCGATTTATGATTTCTGAAAAATTGACAATTTTAAAAATATATTATTTTTACTTATTGAAAAAGTAACAGATATATTATAATATATCCAACAGTTATATCCAAATTAGGCAAAATGCTATATTCAAAATAATAGAAATTTATAATGTTTATAGATTTAAATAAATTTTGATAGTTGTAAACTAAAAAAAGTGAAATGTTATTTATCAATATCTATGGAATGTATTAGATGAATAAATTCATCATAAACAAAATTTTGGCAGGTCAAAAGAATTAATTATTCCAACTTATATTACAAATCACATTTAAGATACAGAATAATAAAATTTATCAAATTTAAATAAATTTGAGCGGTTACGAATTTAAAACAAATGCCGAAAATGACGTTTGTTAATATTGTTAAGAATAAATTGATTTATGATTAAGATTTAATTTGCTTAAGTTGTTCATTCAGGTAAACATCACAAAATTAATATAAATCATGATTGAAAACTGAATATTATATCATATTATATTAAATTTCGAAGTGCCAAAAATCAAACATTTAACAGATTTGGACTCGAATTCCTCAGAACTTTATAAAAATGTTCAATTATTTCAGTTTATTTATTATTTAAGTTAAAAAAAAAAACTTTAGTCTATAGTATTGATCCATCATATTCAAATTTTAATCCGGATTTTATTTATTTTTTATATGAATTTTTTATAACAAAAGGTTTGAAATTTGGTTGTCAAACGGATTCAAATTTCAATCAGGTGGATTTTAATAGGGGCCGTTGCAACGCAAGGCTGGGTATGCTAGTATATATATATATATATATATATATATATATATATATATATATGTAATAAAAACATTTAATCAGCACATACCCAAAACTATAGTTTTTTTTTTAATTCTCAAAACTTAATAATATTGTTTAGGTTCTTTATTATTTACATTCTTAAATAAGTTAATTATTTATCATAAACTCAAATTAATGTTATTTAAAAAAATATTTAGAATAGTGCTCCAAAATAAAATCGTTTTTTTTTTTTTGTTTATTTAATTTATTATTTAGATTTTTTAAAAGGTATTGAATATTTATAAACATAATATTTAATTATAGATTTTGTTTTAAAACTATTATTTACAAATAAATTTGGAATCTTGGTAAAAAACTAAATAATTTTGCTATTACTAAATAAGTTTCTTATTTTTTATGCTTTTTTATTATTTATATTTATAAATAAATATTAAATATTTAAAATCTAATATAGAACTTGCAAATTATATATTTTTGTTAAAATCATTATTTTTAATAAATTATTCAGAAATCTTACTCAAATTAAAACAATTTCACTATAATTGTTCATTCACGTTTTTTATTATTATTAAGTATTAAATTTTGTTGAAATATTTTACTTTAAAATAAATGTTTTAAACTTCACTGCAAAATAGAATAATTTGTATTTTTGTATATATCTTATGATTTTTATCATTTATATATATATATATATTTATATATATATATATATATAACAATACATTAAATAATTAAAAATATAAAATTTATCATACACTCAATCAAATTTTTTTATTAATTTATCAACTTAACTACTTAAAAATTAAATAATTTTGCTATTGTAATTAAAATGTTTCTTATTTACATATTTCTTAGTTCTCATTTGTTTATTTATTATGAGATAGTAATCATGTGATTTTTTTAGATTTTACAAAGCCAAAATTAAGTCTCGAAGAGATATACAATGGAACGAAGTGGCACTTCTATTTAATGGATTGTCTCCGTTGTTTCTTTGGCAAAAGTTTGATAAACTGGTTAAACATAGGGTGCCTGCAGAACATAGAGATAATTTTGAAGGTAAATATAAAAAAGATTTTTTCAATGCTCTCTTTTTCAGACTCAGTTCTCTTTACAGAAGGAGAAGTTTATGTTTTCAGCAGAAAATCCTATTAGTTAATTTTATATTTTCAAAACATTCTGATTCATTTGATGCTAAAATTATAAAAAGTATATGTATGACAAAGTTTGACTAAAAAGACTGCAAAGATTTCAACAATTTAAAAGCTGTTTGATGAAACTCAATTAGGACTCACATAAAGACACTAAATTAGCAAATCAGATTTTCTGGCAAACACATGAACATTTCCCTTGTGTGAACTGAATAAATACAATATTTATAATCTACTTTCAAAGACCTATTAAATGATATATCACATGCCCTAAAAGTGTTAAAATTTTGCCTGTTGGCAAATTGCCAAAATGCATCACAACTGCCTCTGATGTTTTAGATAATTAGCTAATTATGATAATTTTGATTTGATAATTATCTAATATTTTCGTTTTTGGCAAGAATTTTATCAGCTTTAGTATTTGATATTCAAATGTCCATATTGAGAATGTACATATGTGAATTATAGAGTTCTATTGTAAACCTGTGTCGTCCTGATGAGCCCCCAAGTTTTAATATGGTATATTTGATTATAATTTTATATTTTATTCATGAGGTAGATTTACACATTCGAGAGAAGTTAGTTATGCATCTTGGCGGCAAAATGCCACTTACAACTAGTAAATTTTAAATTTTAGTCTAATGAAGTTTTACTTCAAAAATTATAAGTTATTGTTTTTATTTCTTGTGGGATATCGTCTAAAAAGCCTCGTGGAGTAGAATGCGTTTTTTTAAAAAAAAAACTTATTGAAATAAAAACGTGTTAAATATTACTACGAATTTATTGAATAAAGTACTAAAATTTAAATTTTATTGTAAAAATACTAAAATTAAACTTTTGTATCAAATACTATAAAGAACAGAAACAAATTACCTTTTACTTCAATTAATTAACTTTTACTGCATTTTTTGAATTTGTAGTACTAAAGAAGTTTTACTTCAATAAATTTAAATTGTAATTATATATCATGTGGAGTATCGTTTGAAAGGTCTCGAAGACTAGAAGTTGTTTTTCAAAGAAAAAAAAAAACATAAATAAAAAGTGATGAATATAACATTTTTATTGCCAATATTTTTATTGCAAAAAATATTAAAATGTGTGAGATGTAATACTTTTCAACCAAATACTAAAATTAATATAAAATTTGATGATATTTATCCGAATTACACAGTTTAATTGCATTTTCTATGTATCTGAAGCAAATGAATCTAAAGAAGTTTCACTTCAGAATAAAATTAGTGTTAACATTTTTAAAGTCTCAAAGAGTACTATAAGATTTTTATTAGAAAAAATCATTATATGAATAAAATGTTAAATATTTATCTTTATTGCCATCTATATCATATTAAATTAAAAAATATTAAATTTGATTAAAGAGTATTAAATTTTATTGCAAAAAGCACGAAAATATGTGAGATCTTTATACTTCATATACTATAATCAATATAATAAAATCAAGCATATTTATCGAATTTACACAACATAATTGCATTTTTATGCATCTGAGAAAAACAAGCCTAAAGAAGTTTTACTTCAAAAAACGTTAAATTTTATTTTTATGGCATGTGGGGTATCATTTGAAAGGTCTTTTTGAATAAAATACGAATACTGAAATAAAATTTTGATTTTTACAACTTTTAAGAACAAAATTTACTAACTGCAATAGTTTTTAATATTATGCAGCAAATCGGCATACTTGTAAATGACTGATAAATTAATATATTAAGAACTTATTGATTATTTACACATTCTAGGAAAGTTATTGCTATTTGTCTTCAGACAAAATGACACTTACACCTAGTTTATTATTATTCTAAACGATTTTTTTTTTCTTTCAGATTGTCTCAATTATCTACACGACGAAGTGATTCCACAATTAAAGAGAGGCAAATATGACAGGGAACTACGAAGATGTACTTTTACAGTGGAAGAAGGTTTAAAATTCATCGAGGAAGAAATTTCAGAATAAAACATGACAAACGGTACTAAATATTGTTTTTAATATTATGATTTTATTTGAGTGTTTTAATAAATATTTAGCCAATATGGTTTTTGTTTCCAGTAATTATAAGATATATATATATATATATATATATATATATATATATAAACAAGTGGATATATAAATATTTTTTTGGCATTTGTTAACTTGATCTAAACTAGGTGTAAGTGGCATTTTGCCTTAAAGCAAATTGCAAAACGTCCTGATATGCATAAATAATCAATATCACTTACAAATAATAAAAATTCAGATTTAGTTAATTTTCTAATTGTGATGATGAATGCCTGAATAATTGTTGTTCTGTTGAAAATGTTGTAAATTGTTTAAAATGTCTAAAGATATTTTAGATTGCCTGAAAATCTTGTAAATGGTGAGAAAATGTCATAGATTGTCTGAAGATGTTGCACATTGCCTGAAAATGTTTTGAATGGTGATAAAAGATTGTAGATTGTCTGAAGATGTTGTGCATTGTCTGGAGATGGTGAGAAAATGTGGTAGATTGTCCATAAATGCTGAGAAAATGTTGTGTATTGTCTGGTGATGGTTGAACATTGTCTGGAAACGCCTGAAAATGTTTTGAATGGCGAGAAAATGTAGTAGATTGTCTGAAGATGGATGTACATTGACTAAAAACGTCGTAGATTGGCCCGAAAATGTTTTGAATGCTGAGAAAATATTGTAAATTGTCTGGAGACCTTGTAGATTGCCTGAAAATTTTGTGAATAGTGAGAAAATGTTGTACATTATCTGTAGATGTTGCAGATTTCTGGAAAAGTCGTAAATCGCCTGAAAATGTTGTAGATTGTCTAAAGATGGTTGTACATTGACTAAAAACGTTAAAATCTTGTGAATTCTTCAATGATGATTGTGTATTGTCTAAAAAGATTGTAGATTGCCTGAAAATGTTGCAGATTGTTTGAAGACGTTGTAGATGGCCTGAAAATATTGTAGATTGTAGATGTTGCAGATTGTCTGGCGACATAGATTTCTAGAAAATTTTGTGAATGGTGAGAAAATGTGGTAGATTGTCAGAAGATGTTAGACATTGTCTGGAGACGTTGTAGACGTGAGAAAATGTAAATTGTTCAATGATTGTTGTATATTATCTAATAATGTTATAGATTGCTTGAAACTGTTTTGAATGGTGAGGAAATAATGTAGATTGTTTGAAAATCTTGTAGATTGTCTGGAGACTTTGTAGATTGCCTGAAAATGTTTTGAATGGTGAGAAAATGTTGTGGATTGTCTGAAGATGTTGTAGATTTCTAGAACTACCTTAGCTCACGTGAAAAAAGTTGCAAATGTTGAGAAAATGATGTAGATTGTAGATGTTCAAGATTGTCTGGAGGCATAGATTTTCAGAAAATTTTGTGAATGGTGAGAAACTGTGGTAGATGATCTGTTATTGTTGTACAATTGACTAGTTTGCCTAAAAATCTTGTGAATGGTGAGAAAATGTAGTAGATTGTCTGGAGACATTGTAGTTGCCTGAAAATTTGTGAATGGTACCCCTTATCTATGTGTACCCCAAATGGTACCCCCTCATCTATGGGTACCCCAAAATATGGTAAATTATTTGGAGACATTGTAGATTGCCTGAAAATTTGTGAATGGTACCACAAAATTTGGTAGATTGTCTGAAGATGTTGTACATTACCTGGAGTCTTTGTAGATTGCCTGGAAATGCTATAAATGTTAAGAAAAAGTTGTAGATTGTCTAAAAATGATGTAACTATTAAGAAAATGTTGCAGATTGGTTGGAGGCGTTGTAGGTTGACTGTAAAATGCTTTATATGTTAAAAAAATGTTGTAGATTGTCTGTAAATGTTGCAGATTGGTTGGAGACATTGTAGGTTGACTGTAAAATGCTTTATATGTTAAAAAAATGTTGTAGATTGTCTGAAATTGTTGCAGATTTTTCAACAGCCGTAGTTCACCTGAAAAAATTATGTAAATTGTCTGGAGACTTAAATCAGCTGAAAAATTGTGAAGGGTGAGAAAATCTGGTATATTTAGATTGTCTGAGAATATTGTGAATAGTGTAGAAATGTGATTGTCTAAAAATATTGTGAACGATCAGAGCAAGTTATCAAACTATGTAGATTGTTGAAGAACTCAATTTGCAATGAATCAATTTTATTAAATACACATACAATACAAAAAATCATCCATCATCCATTCCCTACGACTTGCTCTTCGCGGCATCCCTTTCCATAGCACGTTTCTTCGCTTTCTCATATAGAGGCATCAACTGACCGTCAGCTGCCAACATTTTCAATAACTCTACAATCAATGGAAGATAATTATGTTTTCTTCTTATATTTTCTATCTGGTAGCGTTTTATCTTTGCTTCCTCTTCTTCTATTAGCATTTTCAGTCGGGTTATTTCAGATTGTGCATCATCTGTCTCCATACCACTCTCTTCCATTTGTTTTTGTAACATTGAGATCTTCCTTTCGTAGATCATTTTTCTGTCCGATACTAGAGCCATGAGGTTGAAGTGGATCTCACCAGCATTGTATCTAGATAATGGAAAAGATACATCAGATATGTTTTTTTTAACTTGTATTACAATCTGTTTATTTTGAAGACTTTTGATAGTAGATTTTGTTTTTAGATAAATTAAAATACGTTTGAAAGAAGTTATGCTTCTACTTTCTTCAATTATGCCAAATTTTTAGAAGAATTCCACAGATAATAAATAGTTACTCAAAAATTATTAAAAAAAAACTTATAAATTATTGTATTGATTGTAGTTTATCAACTTACTGAAGAAAAAAATCGTTTTTGCAGAAAAGCAAACATTCAAGTCATTCTGAATTGCATTCAAGTCATGCTGAATGTCCATTTTTGCCAAAAACTAAATATTAACACGTTAATCGCCAGGATAATATCGTGAAACTTTTCATACATTAGTTAAAAATGAATCCAGAAAAATTAATGTATCAAAGGTAAAGTTAATGTGCCAAATTTCTGGAAAGATGAAGTTTTTTGTCAAAATTATGGAAAACGATCATTTCAGACTAATTAAAAATATTAACACGTTAAACGCCACGATAATATCGGAAAAAATTTCACATGGGCAATGGTAAAACTTCAGTTGAAAATGTATTCAGGAACATTAATGTATCAAAGATAAAGTTTTTTTGCCAAAATTCTGGGAAACACTTTTTTATGCCACACATATTTATTGTCAGCCATTCATGTGTGACATCAAAATGTATTTCCCAGAAATTTGGCAAAAAAATCTTTATCTTTGATACATTAATGTTCCTGGATACATTTTTAACTAAAGTTACCATTGCCTATGTGAAATTTTATTTGATATTATTGTGACGTTTAACGTGTTAATATATTTAGTTAGTCTAAAATAATTGTTTTCCATAATTTTGCCAAAAAAAACTTCATCTTTGATACATTAATGTTCCTGGATACATTTTTAAATAAAGTTACCATTGCCCATGTGAAAATTTTTCCGATATTATCGTGGCGTTTAACGTGTTAATGTTTTTAGTTAGTCTGAAATAATTGCTTTCCATAATTTTGACAAAAAAAACTTTGTCTTTCATATATTAATGTTCCTGGATACATTTTTAACTAAAGTTACCAATGCCCATTTGATTTTTTTCCGATATTATCGTGGCGTTTAACGTGTTAATATTTTTAGTTTGTCTGAAAAAATTGTTTTCCATAATTTTTGCAAATGCATCTTTGACACATTAATGTTCCTGGATACATTTTTAAATAAAGTTACCATTGTCCATGTGAAAATTTCCTGATATTTTCATGGCGATTAACGTGTTAATATTTTTAGTTAGTCTAAAATAATTGTTTTCCATAATTTTGCCAAAAAAAAACTTCATCTTTGATACATTAATGTTCCTGGATACATTTTTCATCAAAGTCACCATTACCCATGCGAAATCTTTTTCGATATTATTGTGGCATTTAACAAGTTAATATTTTTAGTTAGTTAGTTTGAAATAATTGTTTTCCATAATTTTGACAAAAAAAAAACCTTTATCTTTGATATATTAATGTTCCTGAATAATTTTTTAACTGATGTTACCATTGCCCATGTGAAAACTTTCTGGATATTATCGTGGCGCTTAACGTGTTAATATTTTTAGTTTGTCTGAAATAATTGTTTTCCAAAATTTTTGCAAATGCATCATTGATACATTAATGTTCCTGGATACATTTTTAAATAAAGTTACCATTGCCCATGTGAAAATTTTTCCGATATTATCGTGGCGTTTAACGTGTTAATATTTTTAGTTAGTCTGAAATAATTGCTTTCCATAATTTTGACAAAAAAAACTTTATCTTTCATATATTAATGTTCCTGGATACATTTTAACTGATTTTACCATTGCCTATGTGAAATTTTATTTGATATTATCGTGGCGTTTAACGTGTTAATATTTTTAGTTTGTCTGAAATAATTGTTTTCCATAATTTTTGCAAATGCATCTTTGATACATTAATGTTCCTGGATACATTTTTAAATAAAGTTACCATTGCCCATGTGAATTTTTTTTCGATATTATCGTGGCTGAAATAATTGCTTTCCATAATTTTGACAAAAAAAACTTTATCTTTCATATATTAATGTTGACCATGTGATTTTTTTTTCGATATTATGGTGGCAATTAACGTGTTAATATTTTTAATTAGTCTGAAATGATTGTTTTCCATAAATTGACAAAAAAAAACTTCATCTTTGATGCACTAATTTTCCTGGATAAATTTTTAACTAAAGTTACCTTTACCCATGTGAATTTTTTTCGATATTATCATGGCGTTTAACGTGTTAATATTTTTAGTTTGTCTGAAATAATTGTTTTCCATAATTTTGGCAAAAAACTTCATCTTTGATACATTATTTTTCCTGGATATATTTTTAACTAAAGTTACCATTGCCCATGTGAAATTTTATTTGATATGATCGTGGCGATTAACGCGTTAAAATTTTTAGTTTGTGTGTAATAATTACTGAACCACAGCTGTCCAAATGAACAGATCAAATCCTGGTTGATAATTAATATGAAATATTTACATTTACATCACACTTACTTGTTAATCCTCTTCTCTATAATGGGTCTTACAACATCTAACCAGTCTTGATTACTTGCTACAGGCCCCAAATCAATTGGGCCATCTTTTAAGCCATCTAATTCATAAACTCGGCCTTCTATAGGAATATATCCTATGAAGTGATAGACATCATCATCCTAAAAACAACAAAATCGATTAATTTGTCTATTACAACAAACCAGTATTTATTTTAAGTCTTATTTTTATTATTTATCTTACCTTTGAGGCTGTTTTGGGGTCAAATTCGAATAGGGTCTGTCTAGCGAATGAATTATGCACTGTACGAATTGTTTGAGAATTGCTCAGTGTTAATCCTTTGAGATGTGGATCGAAGGATTGACAAAAGTCTCTGAATTCTGTCAGTGTGGGGCCTAATGTTAAGTCGGAGTGCTTGCAATTTAAAAGAAGACTTAGAATTGCTTGGGTTGCACATGCATTGTTGATCACCTGTAAAAAAAAAAAAAAAAATTAGTCCCTGAACATTAGGAAATCTAGAATTGGAAGATGTGGATGGTTTCAAATATTTAGAAAACATTTTGATCAGAGAGGGATACTGCACGAGAGAGATCAGGACAAGGATCGCAGGCGCCAAGGCGGCGTTCAGGAAGAAGAGAACACTACTGACAATCAAAGTTAGTCTCCATTTGGGGAAGGGACTAATAAAGTGACTAATATGCCTAATTTGGGGAAGGGACTAATACAGTGACTAATATGTGTGGATCATAGCTCTGTAAGAATCAGAGACATGGACTCTAAGAAAAGCCGACAAGCACTATCTGAAGAGTTTTGAAATTTGGTTCTGGAGGCGAATGGAGAAAAGTAAGTGGACTGACAAGATAACAAAAGAAGAAGTCCTGAGAAGAGTTAGTGAAGAAAAGACTTTACTGAGCACGATCTTGAAACTGGATCGACAACGTCATCGAAGGCAAAATAGAAGGACTGAAAGGACTGGGAAGAAGAAGAATGCAGATGGTTGATGACTTACGCGAGAAAAGGAAATACTGAAAGCCGAAGCACAGGACCAGGAAGCATGGAAGCAGAAGTGTGGACAGAATAATTCATAAAAACGAATATGAAGTGATTAATCGTCAATTAATAGCAATAAAACGGTAATGGGAATAATAAACAAGGGAGGGGATGAAAATCATTAATTTTATGGTGCTCTCATACCATGGACCTGGCTTCAGGCAGACTACTATTTATTATTTTTTTACATTAGCCAGCAAACGTTTGAAAATGCAAAGTATTTCTAAGATATAATCTGGAGTAGCACAAAATTACTGAATTATTGTAAGTAAAACAGGAGTTTGTAGTAGAAAGGTGAAGATTTAGGACAGTATGTAATTTTTAACTACGCCCATGAATAAACAAATATAAATTGACTTGGCCTTACAAAACAAATAGAATAAGAGAAATGATCAAAAAGTTTCTAAGAAAGTTTTATGAGTAGACAAACCATTTTTTAAATTAAAACAAATTTTCTTTTCTATAAGCTCAAGAAAATCTGAATTAAAATTTGGTAAACATTATTAAAATGCCTATTACAAAATACGAGTTATTAGAAAAAGAGTAAAATATTAGTGTTGTGTATTTTTCAATTTGTCAGCATAAAAATAATTTAAGAATTTTTCTTAATTGAAATTTGGATAAAAAATAATTGGATTCCTAAAATGCCTATTACAAAATAGAAGTTATTTTAGAAGGAGAGTGAAAATTTAGTGTTGCGCGTATTTTTCAATTTCTCAGTATAAAAAATTAAGTGAAAAAAAGAAAAATTCAGAAAAAATGTTAGGGGTGGACAAAACCAAAAAGTTTTTTATTAAATGAAAAATGTTCACTGACTGAAAGCAGGTAGAAAGCGGGTTAGTGGTGGACAAATTTTTTTTTTTTTGTTTTTTTAAGTAAAAAGCTTTTCCATGAGTTCAAGAAAATCGGAATTTAAATGAATAATATTCATTTAAAATTAAATTAATAATATTCACTGACTGGAAGCAGGTGAAAAGTAATTTAATCAATAAAATAAAATAACTATTACCATATTGGGGTTTGAGGTAGGAAGGTAAAAATTTAGGGTCGTTTTTTAAAATTAAACAGTATAAAAAATAAAGAATTAAAAAATTGACACCAAAATTTAAGAAAATATTAGGAATATACAACCTTTAATAAATAAGTTTTTTTTTTAAGTTGAATTAAACCTTTTCATAAATTTAAGAAAATCTTAATTAAAATTCAGTGAGAGAAATTCATTGGCTGAAAGCCGGATGAAAAACCATTCATTTTCTAAAACGACTATTACGAAATAGGAGTTTGTGCTAAAAATGTAAAAATGTAAAAATTTAGGGCTGTATGTGTTTTCATCAAAATAAAAAAAATATTTAATAATGGCCAATCCTTACCACTTAGCATTATTATAAAATTTTATAAAAATCGGTCAAACCGTTTCAGATGAGAATTACAATGAATGATTTGACACAAGAATTTAATATTATGTTGGTGAAAATGAAATCCATTATTCTTGTCCTGAAGTTAATATAAAAATAATGGTTTTCTTTTTTCCTAAGCAAATATATATATAATAAATATATATAATAATAATAATAATAATTATAAATGGTAGTCTGCCCGAAGGTGTGAAAGCCACCACTCCCTTACCCTTCGTCTATCATTCCCATTATCACTATTCCCCCTCCCCCCTTTTGTTATTATTATTATTATTATTATTATTATTATATATATATATATAATTAGTTTAATTACCTGTTTTGCAAAGAATATTTTATCGAGTCTACCATCATGTACAATTGAGCCAGAAGGCGAGTCATCTTGAATCCATTTGAATAAAAATATTAAACCATGTACAGGTCTAAAAGTAAATTGGTAATGTTTAATAATTTGTTAATTGATATTAGATTAATTTTATCTTTCATAAAAGTTTAATTCATATATATTTTATATATTAATTAATTTTATATATTAATCCATATATAGTCTTTTTTCATTGACAGAATCTATTTTAGGACTTCTTGTATTTATAAAAAAAAAGTTATATATGGGCTTTTTGAGCATATTTAAAATAAAGCAATAATGCTTTATAGATATAAATTAATAAACATCATAAACACTTCATACTTATGAATCAATATTATAATATGTGCAGGTAACTCCCATTATAACATGGCATTTCTACTAAATGATTACTTAATCATAAATAGTATTATAATATAAAGACGTTTACACTAAAAGTAAGAATTTGATAAAACAGACTCTTTAAGGATTAAAAAAGTAATTCACGTTCACACCCCAAAGGTCTTGAGAAATTTTTGAAAGTGGATGATCAAAAACTGAGGAAGATTGGTCAACAGATTTCTAGAGCAAAAATTCAAAAAGGGCTTTTTGGTGGAATGAAAAGTAGTAAATGTTTACTTTTCAAACAAGACTGATGCTAAGAAGATCAGAAGTTTGTAAAATGATGGATTTACTTATCATATGTGGTAGGTCTTAAAGAAGAGAATTGAAGAAAAAATTATCGACTCTAAAAATCCAGAAGCTAAAAGGACAAAAGAGAAAGTAGTGATTTCCAAAAAATTTCTTTTCTGAATATCAAAAATAATTCGGTCTTTAATTTTAATTCTGGCTAAAGTTCTAAAGCTCATTTATATACTTCAAATGAATAATTTTAGCTTTGCAATTCAGTTAATATAATTCTTATAATAATCAGACAATATTAGACCTGCGAGAAAAACACCTAGACCCAGAAATCCTAAAAATCTTAGCCAAAGTGATAGTTGATGACAAACCAGATGCTCACGGCCAAAACTCCAAGCAATACTTGAAACATTTCCAAAAACTAATGGGACGCATATCAGTTGCATATCCAACCGAACACAAAATGTGGTTGATTTACGCTTCATTGCCTCTTAAAGATATTTTGATGTATCCTAAACTAATGAAGGCTTACAGGTGTCTTGTGCAAGGCAATTGGACTGCTGATCCTAAAGTTTGCAAGGAAGTTATGGATTTATGGTTAGATATGACCAAGTTTGTTTTGAGGTTGGATGTCGATGGGGCGGATGTAAGTGTTATGGATAAAAATGAGATTAAATTCATTCATTACAGTACAGAAATTTCTAGCAATTTGCCTTAAGGCACGATGCCATACACCATTAGTTAAATTTTTGAAACCTAACCCCTCCCTGTTTTACTAATCCTTTGTTCAGTATAACACGGTAGTTTTTTGGATGTAACTACACTATTATAAGGGGGTTACCTGTCTATATACATATAAAGATAAAATGTAATTTATTATTAATTCAAGACTCCATAACAACAAAGTAGCCTTTGATTGCATCTTATCAAAACTCAAAATAATTATCAAACTAATAATTTTCCATTATTATTACTTTAAATTATCAAACTGCTCGTCATCCAATGACCAAATTTCTTCGACTTGTACCCCCTTGCATCCTAAAAATAGAAAATTACTAAAATTACACACATAAACAATGGGAGCGTGTACAAAACCGGCATTTTAATATTACAATTATATTTTAACGTACCGAATTCTTTTATGAGTTCAGTAAATACACCAGGATCACTTTCTATTAAACACCAGTTTCCAGCTTCTTCAGACATTTTATTTATATTTTAATTTATCTATTTCTAAATTGTGAAAATATGAAAACTCACGATTCACGATTCTTCGAGCAGTTGTCAAATATGATTCGGTAAAGGGAAGACACACAGAGGTAGTAAATGATATTGTGATTAAAATTGTATTTATATATATTATTTATTTTTATTATTTATTATTGTTATCATTTTTAGTATTATTTACACATTTATTAAATTCTATTTTTTTTTCTTTTTCTCTTTTGTTTATTTTGATTTTCATTACACTTTCAACTTTTTAAATTATATTGTATTGTAATCTGATAGTTACTTAATACTAGTAATAATAATTAGGGCGGGTCAATTTAAAAGTCACTTAGGCACATATGATTTTCGGTTACTATAGATCAAAATAAGATACTTTGCTGAAGAAACCATACCTCTAACATAAATTCTTATGTCCAGTGCATTGACCCAAAGATAAGGGTTAAATCTTGAAAAACCTTTCAAGGGGAATCTCAGGCACTCTAAATAAGCCAAAATGAAATATTTCAAATTTTAACCCTTATTTTTGGATCAATGCACGGGACGTCAAAATTCATTTTAGAGTTATGGTTTCTTTAGCAAAGTATCTTATTTTGATCTCTTGTATCCGCAAATCGTGCTAAGTCATTTAGCAAAAAAGTGCAAAATTGTAGTTAAAAATGCTGAACCGATTTTAAAAACTCAAAATTTTTTAAAAGTTATTCTTTAAAAAAAAACATCTAAAATATTACAGTTATACGAAACGTGGTTGAATTATAAAAAAATCAATGAAGAACGAATAAATAGATCGCGCTTTTAGTACTTATAAAAGTTTATAAAAAATAATAGTGTATGGCATCGTGCCTTAAAACAAATTGCTGGAACTTCCCGTACAATATTCAAAAAGTAAATTAAAAAAATAATTAAGCAAAGAAATTTTTTTTCCAAAAGCAATAGTTTTGTCAACACAAGCAGAATTTTAAATTATTCAAACCGGATGCCTAGCTCTGCCATTTTTTGCATATTCAGCTCCGTATCTTTGAAGCGGCTAGACCTGCCTTTGCCAAAAACTAATCACTACTTCTTCCCATCATTACGAATTGAATGCTTTTTTGATCATCAAATCGAATGCTTCGTTCTCTCAAAAACTCGTTTTCAATTTTCTGCACTCTGCTCTATATCTACAAAACAGCTAAAAACTAATCAGCACAACTCCCTATCAATATGAATGGAATGTTTTTTGAATCATTCAAATCGGTTGGTTTGTTTACCTAAAAATGTGGTCGTAAAATTGTATCCATACATACATACATACACACACATCTATTTTTCCAAGGTATGACAAAATGTTCAGAAATTTCTGAAACGTAAAGATATGAATACATTTTCAATTTCAATTTTTGGACGATTACAATAACTTACTTTAAGGAAAGTTAATAAATATAACTTACATTAGAATATATTTTATTAAAACAAATCACGTAATTTCAGTTTTGTTTTTAAGTTTGCAATTGTCAAAAAATTAATTATTATTATTATTTTCATATCTCAGTAAGGCAGAAGTGCCTGGTATAAGAAATTATGAAACAATTTATTCATAATATTTCAAGAATTAACAATTTCTTTATTATTCTTTCAAATTTAGTTTAAATTTTTAAATTTGTTTCTTTTACTTCTGTGTATCTCACCTTTACAATCAGTTCTGCCAACATGGTCTCAACAACTCCACATAATCTCTATCAGCTACATAACCAACTTTCTAAATGACACAAGATATAGATTGAATAAAAATGATGATATTTTAAGTCATATTGTGCAATTTTCCAAAAAATTGACAGATAAATGATAATATAGTTAGAAATAATCAAATAATATAATAAATGAGCCGCTAGACATGGCTCACAGACTCCTGGCCACAGCTAAAAAATTGGAAAAACTATTGTGGACATCATTTCATAATGGAAATATTAATACTTTAAAGGTATGTTTTTATTAAAATCAGAAGTGTAAAGGATTTAAAATGGATACAGAACATTTAGTTTTGTTTATGGAAAGTTTTAGGAGATTTTGGTATATGTTTCAAGTTGTGATATAACCAGGTTATAAATCTGGGTGGGTTTGGAATTCCCAAACAAAATTGGAACTGAATGAATAATTTAGACATAAGAGCTTCACTTAATTATTTATTTTATGTTTTAGGCTATACAAAACTTTATTCCTCCAAAATGTTGTATATATATAGCTGTTATCAATAACAAAGTGTTTTTGACAGTAAATAATAAATAGTAGTCTGCCCGAAGGCAAGTCCACGGTACAAGAATAACAAAATCAATGTTTGTCTTTCCCGTCCCTTGTTTATTATTTCCATTATCCTACCTTAAATCCGTTTTTATGAATTTTCTTTTCCAAACTTCTGCTTCCATGCTTCCCGGTCCTGTGCTTCGGCTTTCAGTTCCCTGTCTTTTCTCTTCTCGCGTAAGTCATCAACCATCTGCATTCTTTTTCTTCCCAATCCTTTCAGTTCTTCTATTTTGCCTTCGACGACGTCGTGTAGGAGGCACGGTCTTTGCAGAATGGGTCTGATCTAGTTACCTTTTCTTCTCAGGATTGTGCTCAGTAGAGTCCTTTCTTAGCCCACTCTTCTTAAGGACTTCTTCATTTCAGTCCATTTTATATTGTCCATTCGCCTCCAGCACCACATTTCAAAATTTTCCAGATAGTTTTTGTCGGCTTTTTTCAGGGTCTTTGACAGTACTTGTAATTTATATTACAATCTAGTGGTGTATGGATTCATATCTGCAAATACTGGAACTTTCCGTACCGTAACGAAATGTTCCAGAAATCTAATATTTATAAGAATTATATAAACTGAATTAAAAAGTTATAAATATTTATTTAGAGTACATAAGTGTTTTTAGAACTTAAGCCAAAATTTGAAATTACTTTCGATATGCAAAAAAAATTTTTTTTGAAAAAAAAAAAATTTTTAAATAATTTTTTTTCCAAAAGCAATTATTTTGTCAAAACAAGCAGAAAGTTTTTTGAATCATTCAAATCAGATGCTTAGTTATCTCAAAAACCGCTATTTTTTGCACATTTAGCTCAGTATCTCCAAAACGGCTGGACCTGCTTTTGCCAAAAACTAATCACCAGTTCTTCCAATCATTACAAATTGAAATTTTTTGGATCAATCAAATCGGATGCTTTGTATTCTCAAAAACTCGATTTCTATTTTCTGCACTCTTTCTTCCGTATCTCCAAAACGGCTGGACCTGCTTTTGCCAAAAACTAATCACCTCTTCTACCTATTGAATGTTTTTTGGATCATTCAAATCTGATGCTCTGTTCTCTCAAAAACTCGATTTCTATTTTTTGCACTCTTTGCTCCGTATCTCCGTAACGGCTGGACCTGCCTTTACCAAAAACTAATCACCACTTCTCCCCGTCATTACGAATTGAATGTTTTTTGAATCATTCAAATCGGATGCTCCGTTCTCTCAAAAACTCGATTTCTATTTTTTTCACTCTTTGCTTTGCATCTCCGAAACGGATGGACCTGCCTTAGCCAAAAACTAATCATCACTTCTACCCGTCATTACGAATTGAATGTTTTTTAGATCATTCAAATTGGATGCTCCGTTCTCTCAAAAACTCGATTTCTATTTCTGCACTTTTTGCTCCGTGTCTTCAAAACGGCTGGACCTGTTTCTCCCAAAATCTAATCACCACTTTTCCTAATCATTGCAAATCGAATGTTTGTGGAAACATTCAAATCGGATGCTCCATTCTCTCAAAAACTCGATTTCTATTTTCTGCACTCTTTGCTCCGTAACTCCGAAACGGCTGGACCTGCCTTTGCCAAAAACTAATCACCACTTCTCCCAATCTTTATGAATTGAATGCCTTTTGGATCATTCGAATCGGATCCTCCGTTCTCTCAAAAACTTCATTTCTATTTTCTGCACTCTTTGCTCCGTATCTCCGTAAAGGCTGGACCTGCCTTTGTCAAAAACTAATCAGCACATCTCCTTATCAATAGGAATCGAATGTTTTTTGAACCATTCAAATAGGTTGATCTGTGTGGATGCAAAATTGTATTCTGCACTTCCATTTTTTCTGAGGTATGCCAAAATTTTCAGAAACCTCTGAAACGTGAAGATAAGCAAAAATTTTCATTTTCGATTTTCGGCCCTTTACTGTAACTTACCCTACGGGAAGTTAATTAACATCATACATATAAATTATCTTTTATCTATTACTATTATCTATTATTTTTCCCCAGTTGCAGCACAATCTGGCAGAGCTCAAACTCGCAAACAGATTACCAAACATCGACAGTCTACTAAACGAATGGCGTCTCTTTTGCGAAAAGCCCCCAAAAGGCTTCGAGAAATTCTTTAAACCTGGCGGAGTCACCAAAGATCCATCCTCCAAAACTGATGCAAAAGAAACAACACCGCCTAAAGATGTACCACCTAAAGCAAAAGAAACTACAGCATCTAGGAGCACCCCACCGCCTAGTATGACTTCACCTAAAACTGGGAAGGATAATTGGAATTTTGGAGTCTTCGGGAATACTAGTAGAGGCACGAGTGGGAAGAGTTTTGGGGAGAATGAGAGGGATAAGTGGTTTATTATTGGAGCGATTGGAACTGTTGCTTTGTTGGGGACTTTGGCTTTCTTTGAGCTGAATTATAAGGAAATTACGTGGAAAGAGTTTGTAAACAAGTAAGGAGAAATATATATATATATATATATATATATATATATATTGATTGTTTCTTTTCTGAAAAGTAAATCCAATAATAAAAAACAATTTGTTTTTTGAAGATGTTTAATAACGACGTTTTGGAACTAGGTACGTTCCATCATCAGGTTTATTCTGTCAAATACAATGTTTTTTAAAAAATATTGACTAACATTAATTAATGATGGTTATTACAGATTATTTAGAAAAATTATAAAGGAATGGATTATGTACCAGTGTAAAGAGTAATAAAAATTAACTAAAAAAGGTTTTATATAAAATTAAAAATTATTTACCTGTAATAATTTATATATTCATATCACTAATACTTTTTGTTAAAAACACTCTTATTTTCTCGAGAATATTTGTAAATGTTTTTGACTTCACAAGACTTTGTAACAAACTGTAATGAAGTTCTGTCGGCCAGGTGTAGGCAATATATACGGGCTTAGGCAAAAATAATTTTTTATGGCTCTTGTATAATAGTTTACTAAAAATGGGAATGTTTTGCCTTAGCAAATGCTGAGAAATATTATTACGTATATATATATATATATATACACATACATATACACACCTACATACAGGGCCGGTCCTGCCTTGCATGCGATGCATGCAAAAAATGCGGGCGCAAGCCTTAGGGGGCGCCAAAATGAGTTTCGGAAATTAAATTTATATTATAAAATTTATATTTTTTATATAAAATCTAGAATTATTTATTTAAAATCTAGAATACTTAATAAATTATAATAAATAATTTAACTTAACCAGGGGTACGGGGACACAAAAAGCATATTTATTTTGCAATGTGATATCAGTAGAAACAATTAACCGATTAATAATTCTGCAAATTAGTAAAGAACAGCTCTGTTTATTGCTTAATCTACTTATTCAATTTTTTCTTTGTTTGAAGTTACCATGGAATCGAAAAAGAAATTATCTAGTGTTCAATCCCATAAGAGCAAACCTGCGAGAGATTAAATTAATTGTTGGGCATTACTGACGAAAAATTGCGAGCTGATTTAGTTGAATCGGTCCTTGTTAAAAAATATAAACAAATTATAAAAAATGGGTAGTCAGTGCTTAGAAAATGACTTGTTTATTCCGAGAAATTGAATTCTAACTTTTGCTTTTGTTGCAAATGTTTCGCATCTGTTGAACTTTGAATGTTGAAGACATGCGTGGAACAAATATGAAAAATTGAAGCAAAATTTACTTTGGAACGAAAATCTTAAGGCTTGTGTTATACCTAGTGGTGTCCTCCATACTCTAAATTTAATAATTATTAACTATACAGAAATAATACATATCAAATATAGTAAGTTTTTTTTTTCAATCTTGTTCAAAAATTATGTAATTTCATTGCATTTTTTACTGATTTTTAAACAATACTTCTAAAATACGTTAAGAATTTAACTTTAAAACAACAAGCTGATGACGGCTCTTACGATATCGATAAAGAGAAGTTTACGACGCAATTTTGGATATTGTAAACGATGAAAAATTAAATTAAATTAAAATTAAAAAATCCAACATGAAATACGAGTGTTATGTTTGAAAATTAAATGCTATATATTTGTTAAATATTAACATTGCACATACGTTAAAAATAATTGAAAATTCCAAAATACTTGATTATAATCAACCACCGAATCGCCTCGATTTTCTAAATAAATTTAAAATCAATATATTTTATACGCTTTTATATTATATCTAATTTTTTGTGCACTAAATCCAGAATAATTAAAAATTAATTTACTTATTTCACTTAAAATTTTTGTTAAATTAAAGTTATAGAATTTAAGAAATGCATTTCAGAAATAGTATTTATTATTTTGATATCAAGATTTTTATACCAAAATAATAAATACTATTTCTGAAATGCATTTCTTAAATTCTATAACATTAATCTAACAAAAATATTAATTCTTTTGCTATGGTAGTCGAACTTACATCCTCAACCAATTTACTACATATTGAATATTACTAAAGTGTGAAATTATGACAGGGATTATTTTATTTATTGATATCGATAATAATAAATAAATTTAAAATCAATATATTTTATACCCTACTAGATTATATCTACTTTTTTGTGTACTAAATCCAGAATAATTGAAAATTAATTTTTAAAAAATATGTAAAAATTTATATAATTTTAATGATAAACTGTTAAAACGGTGAAAATTAATATGGGGGGGGGGGCGCTAGAAACAATGTTGCATGCGGGCGCTAAGGACCCCAGGACCGGCCCTGCCTACATACACATACATGCACATACACATACATACATATGCATATATCCATATATTCATGTACATACAATTATATACACGAACATACATGCAAGTACATGTATATAGTGTATATACAAACAAATACATATAAGCACATATATGGATGTACATGTATTACTACATATATACACACAAAATTATTAAAGGATTAATCGTTTTTAATTAGGTTTAAAAAATTTAGATACGAATCATGAATGATATTATGATCTGATCTTTTATTAACACAATTTGACGACTACAAAAAGATTAAACTGCTTTCAGAACTTTTAAGCCTTTTTTCTTTAAATAAAATGAGTCTCATTTTCCTATATTAGAAATTGAAGTCTTTTAAACGGAATAACAAATTCAGAAAAAAATAAAATATAGTATCAGCGGTAGAAGTACAATATTACCTTGGATTTGTTCACTCAAAATAATTGCTCCAATAATGTTGCCTATAATTTTTATAATCTCGTACCATAATTCAACTGGTTTTTGTTAATTATAATTTCTACATTACATTTTTCTTAGTAATAATTTAATATACATTATTACCAGGGACGCCCCTGGGGTCACCAGTCCCCGCATGCCATTCTTTTTTCTGCGCCTCTCCCCTATTATTTTACCTGTTTTAACAGTTTATTATTAAAATTATTTATATTTAATATTTGGCTTTTGAAACATTTTACTTATTTATTTTGGGCATTTTATGCGATTTATTCTATTGAAGCAAATCATAGAGAGCAAAAAATTCTAGCACTTCATTAATAAACGTAACACTGGTACTTCATGTTGGATTATTTTAATTTGATTTTTTATTATTTAAGATATCCAAAATTGCATCTTAAGCTTCTCCTAATTGATATCGTAAGGGCCGAATTGTATGTATTCATCTTTACTCTCCCAATTGTTGTTTTAAAGTGAAATTTTTATTTTATTTCCAAAATATTGTGCAGAGATTAGTAAAATATGCAAAGAAATTATATATTGAAAAAAAAAAAACTATATTGAAAATTTCATAGCCGAATCTCGTGCAGGCGCCCCCTAAAGCGTGCACTCGTATTTTTCGCATGCTTCGCATTCAAGGTAGGACCGGCCCTGATTATTACTTAATTTCATATTTTAGGTGAACTAATTTGTCAAAATCCTATTCATAAGTGTATCATTAAATCTGCCAAACATATACTGTATCTTATATTATTTTAATTTCTGGAACATCTCAGCTGCTTTCTGGCAATAATAATGTAGACATTTCATTTTTCTTATTCATAATCATGAATGTATTATACATTTTCTAATATTGTCTAGGCTCATAAGTAAATTGAAATTTTTGGCAGATGACAGTTTTCATTTGTTTTCAATGCCAAACAATGCCTCAAATATTTTCAAAGTCAAGCAATGACATGTTGTTTTTGCAATTTTTCATTTATTTCTACAATATTACTATATTTTTATAATCACATACATCCTAGAAAATTCCCTTAACAAACCTCAGAAAGATTTATCAAAAACCGAATAATCGTTTAGGAGGAGTATATTTACATAAATCATTACAGAAGAATTTTATATATGATATATATCTAAGTGTCTTTAGTGTACATATATATTTGTATTAATATTATTTATAGTATTTATATTTATATTATTTTTATTTCTAGTTATCTATCAAAAATGATTGTCGAAAAATTAGAAGTTGTGAACAAAAAAATGGGTTCGAGTGAGGCTTGCAGCTGGAAATACAGTAGCAGGTTCTGTAAGTGCAATTAAATGCATTAATAATATTATTTTAATATTCTAATACTTTTTTATTGTTTATTTTTAGAATACATTATGGTTTAACATTGGCAGTGTGGACTCATTTGAAAGGAACTTGGAAAATGCACAAATTGACTTGAATATTGAACCTGTTAATTTTATTCCGGTAAGGAAGATTAATTTTTTAACTTTTATGATTTTAGTATATTAATCCACAAAACAAAACTTTGAGTAAAAGTATGCTTTAAATGTTATGGAAAATATGCATTTACCAAAACAGATGAGTCAAGAATATATTTCAAAACTTAATAGAGAAGGCTGAGTAGCTTATCTGTCTTTTTTATTTTAAAAGCTTTGGATGATATCTAATAGAAAGCATCTAATAGAAATTACAAATTAAAATTATATTTTATTTCTTAATATTTATTTAGTATCAGACTTAGTTGCTCTAGTCTATTTTATTATTGGAAAAGATTGTAAATTATTTAATTTTATATAATTAGTTTGTATTAGTTCAAAAATCTATAAAATAAATGCACTTTTAACACACTCAGATTGATTTCACAATATTAAATTTTTTGCTAGGTTATTTATAAAACAGAACTAGAAGCAGCAAATCTGAGCGGCCTCCTACCAACTCTATTAATAATCGGTTTCCTGATTTACATGATGAGAAGATCTGCTGAGATGATGGGTGGTGGACGAGGAGGACGTAAAGGTGGTGGCTTGTTTGGAGGTGTCATGGAATCCACAGCTAAACTTATTAATTCTAGTGATATCGGAGTCAGATTCAGGTAGAGGAGAGGAAAAAGACTCAGTATCTTGTCTGTATTTGTCTTGTACAAAATAATCTTACTCGATTAAAACTTACAAAATCTGTAATCAAGGAAGATGTAGTTATACTAATTTTAAAGAGACTCAGTAATTTGTGTTGATGTCTGTATTTGTCTTGACTCAGGGTTATTGTTGTAGTCTGTAATTAAAAAAGATGTATTAATACTAAATTTATATCCAAGATTATTAAATTAACTGTGTGCATTAATAACTAATTTATTAACTATTTTTTTTAGCGATGTTGCTGGTTGTGAAGAAGCCAAGATTGAAATTATGGAGTTTGTAAACTTTTTGAAAAATCCTCAACAGTATATTGACTTGGGAGCTAAAATTCCCAAAGGTGCTATGTTGACGGGACCTCCTGGAACTGGTAAATAAATTAAATACATAATCTAGGTATAAGTGGCATTTTGTTTTGGGACAAGTTACATAAACGTCCTAAAACAATTATGAAAAAGCGGCCCGGCCGATCTTTACCAAAACTAGTCAGGACGAATCCCAAATTATTTGTTTTGAATGGTTTTTAAATTTCGAAAAATTTGAATTTTCTTGCCAATTCTAAAGAAATGGCTGGACCTATAGTCTGACAATTAACTAAGACGGCGTTCATTTATCACGTGATTGTTTTTTGACCTTTTATCAACCGTTTTCTCAAAAACGGCTGAACCGATTTCAAAAATTTTGAATCCGTTCGATGAAACTCAATAAGAACTCACTCTGTTTAGGTTTTTATAGTAATATATAAGTAATATAATTTTTTAAAAATATCATTGAGGAATCTTGCTGATGAACTTCTGGCAAAAATCCGTGGATCGTTTCTTCATAAAAAACTGTTTTCTGGCGATTTTAATTAAACTTTGTATGGCTATAGAGTTCCTGGTCTTCATAAACATACTAAAATATTAGAGGCTTATGAAATGTGGTTCATGGACCGATTCTGCCGCATAACAGGCAAAAGTTATGGCAAGGCTATGTTATGAAGAACTTTCCATACTAAATATTGGCAAAAGCCATGGTTGCTATGCAGTCAGGCGTTTTTTTCAGGTTGTCAGATAGAAAACCTAACGTAGAAACTGCACAAATGTCAAAAAAACGATGTTAGATAACAGGGTCTTTCTGACCCAGCTTCATAACATATGAGTGACGTTGCAGTTTATGTGTAGAACGCCTGAATGCACAGTAAATACATGACATTTTGACAGTATTCAGTATGATTCAGTAGCATTATGTATGAAAGTTGGAGCGTAACATGACCTTGTCATAACATTTATCTGTTATGCGGCAGAATCGGTCACTTAATTATAAAATACAAAAATAAAATATAAAAATATAATAATAATATGTAAAAATTAATTCATGTTTGCATTAGACTTGTGTTAGTTTTCTAATTATGTGTAATATTCATACCATTTGTCAAAAATAGCTAACAAGTTTGGAAAGTTTATACTGAATTAAATAACCTGCAATATATTCTCATCATAAATTAGTATACTGATTTTTTATTCCCTACGTCGATTATTTACGTATTTATTACGTATCGTAATATTATTTAGTTACGTAATTGTTACGTATCGGAAAGTTAATGCAACTTGTCTTAAGATCAAAATACCACTTACACCACTTACAAATTTATTTAAATCTATAGTAATACAAACATGTCTACTGATATAGTAGATATAATATATATTAATACTTTAACAATGTGTATTATTACTATCATTTATTATTAATTAATCATTTATCTATTCCCAGGTAAAACTTTATTAGCAAAAGCAACAGCAGGTGAAGCCAACGTCCCATTCATCAGTGTGTCTGGTTCAGAATTTTTGGAAATGTTTGTCGGTGTTGGTCCATCCAGAGTCCGAGACATGTTCTCGATGGCCAGAAAACATGCACCTTGTATACTTTTTATTGATGAAATCGATGCTGTTGGAAGGAAACGAGGTTAGTAGAACAAAAATAAAGTAATTGTAGTAATTTATATCATGACTTGGTCACCATTGTGGTAAAATATTAAATAAAAATAAATTTCATAGAAAATTTTGTTATAATTTGTATTGTTATAAATATGATTATTTATAAAAGTCGACTATATTGTTTTTATGATTCAATATGAAGGCTGACTCAAATTGCATAAAAAATTTTATAATTAAACTAGATAATTTAAGCTTAAACTATTACTTGTATGGAAGTTATTATATAATTACATACTTATTATTGTTTATGTTTATTTTGCTATTTCAGGTGGTAGAAATTTTGGAGGTCACTCTGAACAAGAAAATACTCTAAATCAGCTCTTGGTGGAAATGGATGGTTTTAATACGACAACGAATGTAGTTGTTTTAGCTGCAACTAATCGAGTTGATATTCTTGATAAAGCCTTGATGAGACCTGGAAGGTAAATATAATATATATATATGATAAAATTGTTCTTATGCATCCATCCAATAATTAAAAACAGTTCAACTTTTTTACATGCTTTTATTTATATTTTTCTGTAATTATGTATTTTTTATTTGTTTAAAATTGTAACCCCAAAATATTCTAATTGTAGCACTGAAGATGGGTCAAATCAAGACCCAAAACATATGTTTCCTTAATAAAAATATTTTCTCTCAATAAAACAGTTTTTAATTACTAGATGGATGCCCAAGAACAATTTTATCATATTATTTCACCATCTGAAGAAAAACCTCTCGCTTTATATATATATATATATATATATATATATATATATATATATATATATATATATATATATATATATATATTACAAGAGAATGAATCAACATTCAACAAAAAATCCAAATCAGTATAAGTCTATGCTTTCCAAACATGTCATTAGTTTAAACTATTTTTTTAATATCAAGAATCCTATTATTTTACATAGGGGTTGACAACCCTTGATCAAAATACATTTTTACATTTTTTATAAGAAAATCTAAACAAAATCATATCAAAAACATTAATTCATTGTCAGTTTGTGGTAGGAGGGTGAAAATTTAAAGCTGCATATGTTTTTTTTAGCTAAGAATAATAAAAAAAACATTTCATCAGTTTATTAAACCGTTCTTTTAATACAGACAATTTTATTGTGTTAGTTACATAGGGGTTTACAATCCTTGATCAAAATACATTTTTACAATTTTTTTTATAAGAAAATTTGAACTAAAATTATGTCAAAAACATTCATTCATTATCGGTTTGTGGTAGGAGGATAAAAATTTAAAGCTGCGTATGTTTTTTTAGCTAAGAATAATAAAACAAACATATCATCAGTTTAAACCATTCTTTCAATACTAAGAATCCTATTATTTTACATAGGGGTCGACAACCCTTGATCAAAATACATTTTTACAATTTTTTTATAAGAAAATCTGAACTAAAATTATGTCAAAATAATTCATTCATTGTCGGTTTGTGGTAGAAGTGTGAAAATTTAAAGCTGCATATGCTTTTTCAGCTAAGAATAATAAAAGAAACATATCAGTTTAAACCATTCTTTTATTACCAAGAATCCTATTATTTTACATATGGGTTGACAACTTTTGATTAAAATACATTTTTACAATTTTTTATAAAAAAATCTGAACTAAAATTATGTCAAAAACATTTATTCATTGTCGGTTTGTGGTAGGAGGGTAAAAATTTAAAGCTGCATATGTTTTTTTAACTAAGAATTATAAAAAAGCATATCATCAGTTTAAACCATTCTTTTAATACCAAGAATCCAAATCAGTATAAGACTATGCTTTCCGAACATGTCATTAGTATAAACCATTTTTTTAATAACAAGAATCCTATTATACATAGGGGTTGACAACCTTTGAATAAAATACATTTTTACATTTTTTTATAAGAAAATCTGAACAAAATTATATCAAAAACATTAATTCATTGTCAGTTTGTGGTAGGAGGGTAAAAATTCAAAGCTGCATTTTTTTTTAGCTAAGAATAATAAAAAAAAACATGTTGTCAGTTTATTAAACCATTTTTTTAATACCAAGGATCCTATTATTTTACATAGGGGTTGTCAACCCTTGATCAAAATACATTTTTACTATTTTTTTTATAAGAAAATCTGAACTAAAATTATGTCAAAAACATTCATTCATTGTCCGTTTGTGGTAGGAGGGTGAAAATTTAAAGCTGCATATGTTTTTTTTATCTAAGAATAATAAAAAAAAACATGACATCAGTTTAAACCATTCTTTTAACACCAAGAATCCTACTATTTTACATAGGGGTTGACAACCCTCGATCAAAATACATTTTTACAATTTTTTTATAAGAAAATCTGAACTAAAATTATGTCAAAAACATTCATTCATTGTCGGTTTGTGGTAGGAGTGTGAAAATTTAAAGCTGCATATGCTTTTTCAGCTAAGAATAATAAAAGAAACATATCATCAGTTTAAACCATTCTTTTATTACCAAGAATCCTATTATTTTACATAGGAGTTGACAACCCTTGATCAAAATACATTTTTAAAATTTTTTTATAAGAAAATCTGAACTAAAATTATGTCAAAAACATTCATTCATTGTCGGTTTGTGGTAGGAGTGTGAAAATTTAAAGCTGCATATGCTTTTCCAGCTAAGAATAATAAAAAAAACATATCATCAGTTTAAACCATTCTTTTAATACCAAGAATTATATTATTTTACATAGGGGTTGCCAACCCTTGATCAAAATACATTTTTACAATTCTTTTATAAGAAAATCTAAACTAGAATTATGTTACAAGCATTCATTCATTGTCGGGTTGTGGTAGTAGGGTGAAAATGTAAAGCTGCATTTGTTTTTTAGCTATAAATAATAAAAAAAACATGTCATCAGTTGAAACCATTGTTTTATTAACAAGAGTCCTATTATTTAACATAGGGGTTGACAACCCTTGATCAAAATGCATTTTTACAATTTTTTTATAAGAAAATCTGAACTAAAATTATGTTAAAAACATTAATGCATTGTTGGTTTGTGGTAGAAGGGTGAAAATTTAAAGCTGCATATGTTTTTTTAGTTAAGAATAATAAAAAAAAAAATTAGGGGCGGCCGACCCTTACTACTTAGGTGTGTGTAAAAATAGATGTTGTCCTATTCTCAATCATACTGAGTAATTAACAAATTTTACAAAAATTGGTATTGCCATTAATATCATGACACAAAAATTTTGATATGTTTATTTATTTATAACAAACATTTTTATGTTCTTTTTTCTAGATTTGACAGACAAATATTTGTAGGAGCCCCCGATATTAAAGGCAGAGCCTCTATTTTCAAAGTGCATCTGCAAAACTTAAAAACTGAACTCGACAAAATGGATCTTGCTAGAAAAATGGCAGCTTTAACACCAGGTATCAAAAGTCTTTTACCTCTCTGAAATAATTTAATGATTATCAGGTTATAATATTAAAATTTTTGTCCTGCAGGTTTTACTGGAGCTGATATTGCAAATGTGTGCAACGAAGCAGCTCTGATTGCAGCTAGAGATTTAAATAATTCAATTAATATGAAAAATTTTGAACAGGCTATTGAAAGAGTAGTTGCTGGTAAATAAACATAACATATGGTTTAAAAAAATGAAACACAAATGGAAATATATATAATTGTTACTATTCTAGGAATGGAAAAGAAAACAAATGTCCTGCAGCCAGAAGAGAAACGAACAGTGGCTTATCACGAAGCCGGACATGCTGTAGCCGGTTGGTTCTTGCAGCATGCAGATCCATTGTTAAAAGTCTCCATAATACCTCGAGGAAAAGGTTTAGGATATGCACAGTATCTACCAAAGGAACAGTATTTGTATACGAAGGAACAATTATTTGATAGGATGTGCATGACTTTGGGGGGCAGAGTCTCAGAAGAGTAAGTAGAAAAATATTTAAATTACACATCAACACTTTGAGCCTGGTGCCAAATTTTCTGTATTTTTTGTTCAGCCAACAGTGACAGTGTCAAAATTTCATTGAAATTGTATTGGATAACATTTTATTAAGAGTAATTTTACTTTTTGCTGTCAAAAACAATGCAAGTTTGCAATATACATTATCATAAGTCTTTTATCCCAGGTTATTCTTCAAGAGAATCACAACAGGTGCTCAGGATGATTTACAAAAAGTAACCAGAAGTGCCTATGCCCAAGTAGTTCATTATGGTATGAATGAGAAAGTGGGCAACGTCAGCTTCGATATGCCACAACCTGGTGAAATGGTCACAGATAAACCTTATTCTGAAAGTACTGCTCAAATTATTGACCAAGAAGTTAGGACTTTGATTAAAGCAGCGCATGTGCACACAACACAGCTGTTGACAAAACATAAAGAAGATGTAGTCAAGGTAGGAAAGATGGAAATGAATAATAATGAAAAGAATAATAGTGCAAGAAGTGAAACTTTTTAATGTAAAAGTTACAATAAGGGTGAAAATTGATTCTAGTGTACTCATATTTTAAAATATGTATTTCATACAATTGTTTGTTTAAGATATAATTTTATTTTTTTAACTTTAATTCATTAAGATTTAATTATATTACTGTTTTTTCAATTTAAAAATTTTCAATCTATTTTTTATATCGTTTTGAGACGATTCACAATATTCTCAGACAATCAACATTTTCAGATGGTGTACAACACATCAAGGTGTTTTTTAGACTGTGTACAACATTTTTAAACTGTGTACAAGATTTTTAGACTGTGTACAAGATTTTTAGACTGTGTACAAGATTTTTAGACTGTGTACAAGATTTTTAGACTGTGTACAAGATTTTTAGACTGTGTACAAGATTTTTAGACTGTGTACAAGATTTTTAGACTGTGTACAAGATTTTTAGACTGTGTACAAGATTTTTAGACTGTGTACAAGATTTTTAGACTGCGTACAACATTTTTAGACTGCTTACAACATTTTTAGACTGCGTACAACATTTTTAGACTGTGTACAAGATTTTTAGACTGTGTACAAGATTTTTAGACTGTGTACAAGATTTTTAGACTGTGTACAAGATTTTTAGACTGCGTACAACATTTTTTGACTGCTTACAACATTTTTAGACTGCGTACAACATTTTTAGACTGTGCACAACATTTTTAGACTGCGTACAACATTTTTAGACTGTGCACAACATTTTTAGACTGTGTACACAACATTTTTATACTGTGTACACAACATTTTTAGACTGTGTACACAACATTTTTAGACTGTGCACAACATTTTTAGACTGTGCACAACATTTTAAGACTGTGCACAACATTTTAAGACTGTGTACACAACATTTTTAGACTGTGTACACAACATTTTTAGACTGTGTACACAACATTTTTAGACTGTGTACACAACATTTTTAGACTGTGTACAACATTTTTAGACTGTGCACAACATTTTTAGACTGTGCACAACATTTTTAGACTGTGTACACAACATTTTTATACTGTGTACACAACATTTTTATACTGTGTACACAACATTTTTATACTGTGTACACAACATTTTTAGACTGTGTACACAACATTTTTAGACTGCGTACAACATTTTTAGACTGTGCACAACATTTTTAGACTGTGCACAACATTTTTAGACTGTGTACACAACATTTTTATACTGTGTACACAACATTTTTATACTGTGTGCACAACATTTTTAGACTGTGTACACAACATTTTTAGACTGTGTACACAACATTTTTATACTGTGTACACAACATTTTTATACTGTGTGCACAACATTTTTAGACTGTGTACACAACATTTTTAGACTGTGTACACAACATTTTTAGACTGTGTACACAACATTTTTAGACTGTGTACACAACATTTTTAGACTGCTTACAACATTTTTAGACTGTGCACAACATTTTTAGACTGTGTACACAACATTTTTATACTGTGTACACAACATTTTTAGACTGTGTACACAACATTTTTAGACTGTGTGTACAACATTTTTAGACTGTGTGTACAACATTTTTAGACTGTGTGTACAACATTTTTAGACTGTGTGTACAACATTTTTAGACTGTGTGTACAACATTTTTAGACTGCGTACAACATTTTTAGACTGCGTACAACATTTTTATACAGCGTACAACATTTTTAGACTGCATACAACATTTTTCGACTGTGTACAATATTAATTCTAGATTTTGTACAATATTTTTAGACTGTGTGCAACATTTCTAGACTGTGTGCAACATTTCTAGACTGTGTGCAACATTTTTAGACTGCGTGCAACATTTTTAGACGATGTAGAATATTTTCAGACTAGCTACATAATTTTTAAACATCACATTTTCAGACTGTGTACAACATTTTTGGACCCTGTACAACATTTTCAGACCATCTACAAAATTTTCAGACTAACTGCAACATTTTTAGACTGTGTACACAACATTTTTAGACTGTGCACAACACTTTTAGACTGTGTACTACATTTTTAGACTGCGTACTACATTTTCAGAAAGTGTACAACTTTTTTGAACCCTGTACAACATTTTCAGACCAATTCTACAATATTTTCAGACTAACTACAACATTTTTATACATCCTACAACATTTTCAGACCGCGTACAACATTTTTAGACCGTGCATAACATTTTTAGACTGCGTACAACATTTTTAGACTGCGTACAACATTTTTAGACTGTGTACTACACTTTTAGACCGTGCACAACACTTAGACTGTACAACATTTTCAGACTGTGTACAACATTTTTAGACTGTGTACAAGATTTTTAGACTGCGTACAACATTTTTAGACTGTGTAAAACATTTTTAGACTGTGTACAAGATTTTTAGACTGTGTACAAGATTTTTAGACTGTGTACAAGATTTTTAGACTGTGTACAAGATTTTTAGACTGTGTACAAGATTTTTAGACTGTGTACACAACATTTTTAGACTGTGTACACAACATTTTTAGACTGTGTACAACATTTTTAGACTGTGTACAACATTTTTAGACTGCATACAACATTTTTAGACTGCATACAACATTTTTAGACTGTGTAAAACATCTTTAGACTGCGTACAACATTTTTAGACTGGGTACAACATTTTTAGACCCAGTACAACAGTTTTAGACCCAGTGCAACAGTTTTAGACTGCGTACAACATTTTTAGACTGCGTACAGCATTTTTAGACTGCGTACAGCATTTTTAGACTGCGTACAGCATTTTTAGACTGCGTACAGCACTTTTAGACTGCGTACAACATTTTTAGACTGTGCGCAACATTTTTAGACTGTGTACGCAACATTTTTAGACTGCGTACAACATTTTTAGACTGGGTACAACATTTTTAGACTGCGTACAACATTTTTGGAACCTGTATGACAACATTTTCAGACCACACCTACAATATTTTCAGACTAACTACTACATTTTTAGACTAACTGCAACATGTTTATACATCTCACAATATTTTTAGACTGTGTAGAATATTTTCAGACTATCTACATCATTTTTAAACATCACATTTTCAGACTGTATACAACATTTTTGGACCCGGTACAACATTTTCAGACCAACAACAATCTTTTCAGACTAACTGCTATATTTTTAGACCAACTACAACATTTTTATACATCTTACAACATTTTTAGACTGTGTGGAATATTTTCAAACTGGCTACATCATTTTTAAATATCACATTTTCAGACTTTGTACATCATTTTTGGACTCTGTACAATATTTTCAGACCTTGTACAATATTTTCAGAGTAACTGCAATATTTTTAGACCAACTACAACATGTTTATACATCTTACAACATTTCTAGACTGTGTGGAATATTTTCAGACAAGCTACATTATTTTTAAACATCACATTTTCATACTTTGTACATCATTTTTGGACTCTGTACAATATTTTCAGACCTTCTACAATATTTTCAGAATAATTGCGACATTTTTAGACCAACTAACACATTTTTATACATCTTACAACATTTTTAGACTGTGTAGAATATTTTCAGACTAGCTACGAGTACATTATTTTTAAACATCACATTTTCACACAGTGTACAATATTTTTGAACCATGTACAACATTTTCAGACCAACTACAATATTTTCAGACTAACTGCAATCTTTTTATACACCTTTATATAGACAAGACCATGCACAACATTTCTAGATGGTGTACTACTTTTTTAGACTGTGTACAACATTTTCAGACCAACTGCGACATTTTCAAACCAACTGAAATATCTTTATTCATCTTACAACAGTTTTAGACTGTTTACAACAGTGGTCGGGGAACTTTTGGAACCATTACCCCAAAATATTTTTGTGCAACCTCTCATTACCCCACAAAAAAAAATTAACTAAAAGAGCCTATAATTGGAATCCCGCAGATTAACGGTTTGCTACATTGTTTGTTACTTCTAAACTTTGAAGAAGGCTGAAACAATTGGTTTGAAGGAAACAATAAGTAAAAACTATATTCTTTATGAATAAATATATTTTTCATGAAAATCCTACTAATGAATGAATAAACTAGGGGTGAATGGCATCATGCCTTACGGCAAATTGCTAGAACTTTCCGCACCGTGACGAAATGTTCGAGGAATTTTAAATACTTTCAATTAGATTATTATAAATCCTGTAACATTATATAATATTCATAAAATATATATAAGCTGAATTACAAAATTAAAATTATTTATTTGAAGTATATAAGTGAGCTATAGAACTTTAGCCAGAATTAAAATTAAAATCAGAATTATTTTCGATATACAAAGAAAAAATTGATTTTTTTCCCCCAAAAGTAATTATTTTGTCAACACAAACTGCAAGTTTTTTTAATCATTCAAATCGGATGCTTAGTTCTCTCAGAAACTGCCATTTTTGTACATTGAGCTCTGTTTCTTTGCAATGGCTGGACCTGCCTTTGCCAAAACCTAATCACTACTTTTCCCAATCATTACAAATTGAATGTTTTCTGGATCATTCAAATGAGATACTCCGTTCTCTCACAAACTCGATTTCTATTTTCTGCACTCCTTTGCCAAATACTAATCAGCATATTTCGCTATCAATAGGAACCAAATGTTGAATGAATCATTCTAATCGGTTCATCCGAGCGCTCGAAAACGCGAACGAAAAAATGCGGATACACAAAACACACACACATCCATTTTCTCTGAGGTATGGCAAAATGTTCAAAAACCTCTGAAACTTGAAGAAATGCAAAAATTTTCATTTTCGATTTTCGGCCCATTACTATTATATAATTTACCCTACGGGAAGTTAACAATAATGCCACAAGTGACAATAAACACGCACATATGTAATGTAAGAACATTACGATTTGGAGAAACGGTATTGCTTCATCTTTGACACAATTTCTTCAAAATTTTGACTTTAACATGTCAGAGCAATTTTAATACAATCTTCGGCATTCAATCTATTTCTCCTCGAATTTATGTTTATCAGAGTGGAAAGGTCTGGTTTGCACAAATATGTGGTTCCAAATGGCAGCAATTTTCTTACCGCTTCTTCATGTGCTATTTCAAAACCCTTTGCAGCTTTTGGCATTCAAAAACATGGCAGGTTTTGTTCACTCCCAAATTCAATACATGCTTCCAGAATTGATTCTGCCAAACCTGCAGGTTTTTCCGGTACAATCCAACTCACAATACGTGTATCCAGATCTGGAAAGTAATCCAAAAACCGCACTCTCAGGTGAAGTAATATTATCACAATCCTCCAAAAACAAAGCATAACCTTGGTAAAAATATGCTATCTTGTTCTCTTCTACTTTCTGCCTTCAATATTCCAGCTTTGAACCAAATCCAACAATATTTCTCTCGCTGAAATAATATTAATATGCTTTAATTTCCCTTTAATTCTTTGTTTAATATATTTATGCTTTCAAAAATGTCTGCTAAATATGCGAGAAATGAACCACAGGAAGAGTTTTCAAAATTTTCAGCAACAATACTTGTTTGAGAAACCATAGAGATTTCAGCTTCATTTTTAAGAATCCGTACTCGATTTAAAATATTTACGCGAGAGAGCCACCGTACTTCTGTATAATAAAGGAGGTCGGTCTCAACTTTACCATCCTGACATAATTCACAAAATAGCCGCGTATTTAGTGCATGTCTCTTGTTAAAATTTATAATCTTGATAGCATCATGAATGTGGGTTATTTTCCCTTACAAAAGCTGAAAAACGATAAATATGACCCAGCATAGCTGAAGTTTCATCAGAATACACCAAATTGCAATTTTTCCATTTTAATCTTTGCGCTTTGAAATATTCGTTTACTTTATTATAAATATCTATTTCACGACATCTGAACTCAAAAAAAAAAAAACAAAAGCAATTCCTTTCCAGAATTATCTACACATTCATAGCAGACATATATCAGTTGTGAATTACTACTGAAATCCGTTTTCTCAAGCTGAATAGCAAAATATTTAGTTTGTTTTAATGAAAAACTTCACATTTTTTTTGCCAATGCAGATTCTTTTCGGTAGTAGGTTTTACTGAAGCTGATTTAAAACAAGCAAGATATTTAACTTGTTTTAGTGCGAAAATTACTTATTCCTTCATATTTTCTGCTAATGCAGAAATTCTTTCCGATAGTAGGTTTTACTGAAGCTGATTTTGTGCTTCGCAAATATATACTTTTTACCCCCAAAAATTCCACTTTTACCCCATTTGGGGTAATTTACCCCGTTCCCCGACCACTGGTTTACAACATTACCGTGTACAAGATTTTCAGTCTGTTTACAACATTTTCAGGTCATGTACAACACATACAATTTATAAAATTTTCATTCACCTTTTAGCATTTTTATACATTTACATTTCCCAGTTGAATGTTTATAACCCAATCTTATTGAAAGTCAACATTAGAAGTTTCACTTAAAAAATGAACGTAAATGAATTACATAAAAGTATATGTATATATGTAATTTATAGGTAGCTGAAAGATTATTGAAAAAAGAAATTCTGAGTCGGGAAGACATGATTGAACTTTTAGGCAAGAGACCCTTCCCTGAAAAATCTACATATGAAGAATTTGTAGAAGGTAAGATTAAAAATAACTTTATTAATATAAATATATAATTATTTTCAAGAAATATTCTTTAATGAGTAAACTTTTAACTGCAATCTTACAATAATCTTTTGCTTTATTTTCTTTCATCAAGTGCGACTCCACCATAATGCTACTAATATGTAATAATAATATAATTGAAATTGTTGTCTGTTGCCCTCATCAGCCATTGAATTAAAATATATATATATATATATATATATATATTTGTTTATTTACTTATTTATTCTATTATCTATTTTTCTAGGTACGGGTTCCTTCGAAGAAAATACACAATTGCCAGAAGGTCTT